ACCCCCAGAACTTGATTTGCTTAAAATTTATTCTTAGTGGATCCCTATTCAACAAAAAAAAAAAACATGCTTAAAAAATTTCAAGTATATGGGTCTAACAATTAAAAATCAGGAATTTTTTTCTGTAACTCCTCTTGACCCCTCGCAAACATCTTTGGGGTCAATTTTCATTTTACTCTTTGTTAGAGGAACTCTATTTCATGAAAGGAACATGCCTACCAATTTTCAAGCAGGATGATCAAGTAGTTTAAAAATGGAAATATTTATCGATTACGCCTCTTAATCTCCCGAAATTAAACTTAGTAGTTGATATTCGCGAAACCCATTTTGTAGCGGTTCTCTGCTTTACGAAAGGAATCTGCTTATCAAATTTCAAGACTGTGCGTCTAACAGTTTAAAAATGGGGATAATTGTCTATAACGCCACTTGAGCCCCCGAAACGCCACTTCTGGGTCTGTTTTTACAAAACCCATTTTGTAGGGGAATTGCACTCTATGAAAGGAATCTGCTTAGCAAAATTTGAAGACTGTGCGTCCAATTAATTAAAAATGCAAAAAAATTATCAATAACGCCCCTTGAACCCCCGCAACACCACCTAGGGGTCGATTTTCACAAAACACATTTTGCAGTGTATTTCTATTCTATGAGAGGAATCTGCTAACCAAATTTCAAGACTGTGAGTCTAATAGTTTAAAAAAAGAAATAATTATTTATATCTGCCCTTAACCCCCGCAACACCCCTTGGGGGTCAATTTTCTCAAAACCCGTTTTGTAGCGGATATTTACTCCATGAAAGAAACATTCCTACCAATTTTCAAGCAGGTAGGTCAAATAGTTTAAAAACGAAAATATTTATCTCTTACGCCACTTATTCCCCTGCAACGCCACTTAGAGGTCTGTTTTCCCAAAACCTTCTTATAGCTGATCTCTACTCTATGAAAGAAATCTCTTTATCAAATATAAAGACTGTGCGTCTAATAGTTTAAAAATGGAAATAATTATCTATAACGCCCCTTAAGTCCCCTCAACGCCACTTGGGGGCAATTTTCACGAAACCCATTTTTAGCGTATCTCTACCCTATGAGAGGAATCTGCTTACTAAGTTTCAAGACTGTACGCCTAATAACTTTAAAATAGGAATTTATATCGCCCCAACAACCCCGCCCCCGCAACACCCCTTAGGGGTCAATTTTCCCAAAACCCATTTTGTAGCGGATATTTACTCCAGGAAAGAAACTTACCTACCAATTTTCAAGCAGGTAGGTGAAGTAGTTTAAAAACGGATATATTTATCTATTACGCCCCTTAATCCCCCGCAACGCCACTTAGAAGTCTGTTTTCACAAAACCCGTTTTGTAACTGATCATTATTCTACGAAAGGAATCTATATATATCAAATTTAAAGACAGTGCGTCAAATAGTTTAAAAATGGAAATAATTATCTATAACACCCCCTAAGCCCCTGCAACGCCACTTGGGGGTCGATTTTCAGCAAACTCATTTTGTAGCGGATCTCTACTCTCTGAAAGGAATCCGCTTACCCAATTTCAAGATTGTACATCAAGTAGTTTAAACATGGAAACAATTATTATTAAAGCCCTTAACCCCCCGTAACGCCCCTTGCGTTTTGAATTTCGGAAAATTCTTTCTTAGCTGATGTCTACTCTATCAAAGGAACATGTCTACCAAATTTCAAGTCTGTAGGTTGAATAGTTCCAGAGATTTCGTGATTAGTCAGTCAGTGAGTGAGTCGTTTTTCTCCTTTATATATATAGATTCCTTTCCTCCCCCCCCCCATACATCACATTCGCGCGCCTACGTGGAAAACTTTAGCATTGGAGAGCGAATCGCGTAACTTTTAATCGGCAGTTAAGGAATTAATTATAAACCGTACAAATTATGAAGATAAGAGTTCATCCTTGTGAATGATTTCATATATGACCAGCCCATTGGGTCAGTGGTAATTATTAAACTTGTTCTTTACTTAGCATTGCTAAATTAATTATAAAAGACATTGCGCAGTACTGATATATTTATGAGTGTATTATATCAGTGCAAATGTGTATTTTATTTTTATTATGTCAAAATGTATTTTGTTTGTTTACTTTCAGTAAATTAAAATTTTTTAACATAACCTTTTATTTTCGACTTTTCAATATGCACGCACCCTCCTCGTAGAATTATTATATCCCTCTAGGAGGACACGACCCACAGTTTGAGAAACGCTGCATTTATAGTATTAATTTGTGCAATAAGTGTCATTTCAACACTTATATTATATTTAGTAACATTGGTATGTGTATGCTTGTTTCCCCCCCGCACAAATGTGAAAATCTAAGTCCACTGAACCTACCAGTGGCGTAACGTACACCCCCGGGGGGGGCAGGGTTCTAGGAAGCCCAAATCCTGACTAACACCAAGTACATACGGTTTTGCAATCCTTTGTAGAATCCGGCTTGGGGCCCAAAATCTGACTTAGAAGGGGGGCCCTAATGTTCCCCGTTACGCCACTAGAACCTGCCTACAGTCGTATTTCATTTTCTGCGTTAATTTGTGTTTGCATTTTGTTTTTGTTGCCACATATGTCGAGAGAAATGTTTATAACATAAATACGTTGCTCAAAATGGCATTTAAATATTTGTAACTGTGTGTGAAACTTCTATGTATTCTGCAAATTTCACAGCCTAAAATTTAGAAGCTGTTCCTGTTTAAATGTAAGTTTTAAAGTTGAATCATTTGATATGACAGTATAAATCGTTCCTTCCCCTTCATTGGCAAACCTTCTGATTTATGCATTCTAGCTTAGTTTTCTCCTCTGAGAAACATTATTTTGCAGGTGTTAGGTGAGAAAAACATTGCACTAATGAGTATAAATTTTTTTTGTAGAACCCTGGATCATAAGCAACAGAATGCTTATAATCTAGGTTGTACAAATAAATATAAAAATGTTTTAATATTTTTCATTATATTATAATAAAAATTGCAGGAAATTACTGAAAAAAAAAGGCTGTCCGGCGTCGAATTTATGTTTTAAATTTCCTCGTGGGACCCTCTTTGAGAAACACGATTTTAGGTACTCTAGTGAGGTAATCGATTTTGCATTCAATGTTTACTTTTTCTTTTCGAATTTTTATTTTGACTTGTGGAGCCCCTGGAAATACTTGACAGATCCCCAGGGCTCCGAGAAACAAAGTTTGAAGATTGAAGTAGAGGTCGTTTTGGCGTTGTGAGAAAGCATTGGGGGAAAAATGTGATAAGGGAGGGCAACCACCTATGTTTTGAGAAGCAGAGGAAACAAACGCGTTTTTGCACTTTTTTTTTTCTTTTACAGAAGTAAAATATAAGAGCAGTTGTACACTCTATAGATGACTCACACTACAACCTGTGAGGTCTTGTCATTTGTAAAGCAATGGTGCCTAAACATTCGCATACATCAACGTATTTTTCCCACGATCACCAAACTTAAACAATACGCATTTATACTTCTAATTTAAAAAAAAAACTGAAAAAAGTTCTCCTCTTGCGGCTGTCTTTTGTTCGGTTGAGCAGTCTAGAATTTACAGTCACAACAAACATTTCTCTGACTAACTTCACACCGTTGAAGCGTGACTATTTTGCACAGGCAATCACTCCACTAGATTTTGTCTTAAAAATAAATAATAATAAATCATGATTTGTTTTTCAAAAAGTTTGATGTAAGCTATGCCTTTATGTGAAACAAAGCATTTTAATACAAAAAAAAAGCACGATCTTTTTTTCTGTGCACTGTGCTATCCAACAAATTATTCCAAAGGCTTTGGACAGTGTGTGTTTGTAAAGGATTTACTTATTTCAGAGGATTTGCTTTATATATTTATTCCTTTTCTCCCCCTCCCCCTCCCCCATACATCACATTCGCGCGCCTACTTGGAAAACGGTGATATAGGGGAGCGAATCGCGTAACATTTAATCGGAAGTTAAGGGATTAATTGCTTAGTACTTTTACTTTATTACTTTTTTATTGGATTATATTTTCTTAGAAAATACAGTTATTTTGCATTTCTTATTAAAAAAGGTATATTTTTATTTCAAAGGTAGTATTTTTGTTTGTTTATTTTTTAATTAAATGTATTTTGTCGCTATTATGATATGCTAGCTGGTCAAAAAAAAAGGGGGGGGGGTTCTGCTCTGAGAATTGTATTTACATTTTATTAATGTTTTACTTTGATACAGGTAGATGAATTTAAAGCGATAACGTTAATTATTAGCCAAAATATGAAAAATTCTCTAGAGGGGTGACATATTAGGTCTTTACACGTGGGCGGCCAATACCCTAGAATCGGCCCTGATTGTGAGGACGTTTCACCTCGACAGATTTAACGGGTATCAACCCTCTAATATGGAATGGTGTATCTTCAGTGACTCCAAGATTCGAATCCATGATTCAAACGTCTTTTTCAGGTGGTCCACGCTGATGCAATATCTTAAAAAATCACTTAATCAAAATTTTAACTAGAGCTTTAAGTTAATCAGAATTTTAACTTTTAACTTAACTTCTAAAATATCAGATAGTGAGAGACAAAAGACTGTCAAAACCACCTTTAAGTGTTTTAAACAGCAAGATGCGTCGGTAAAAGACTTTGTGTTCTTTCGTTGTCTTCGTGATGAAGTAGCAAAACACAGAGTGCAGTGTGGAAGACAACAGGACACTACGCCCTTCTTTAAAAACAAGTACTATAAAAAAATTAAGTCAATTCCTACTTAGGTCAACACAGAAAATTTTTATATATTTTAGTTACTTTTTATTAAATATTTACAATTAATATAAATATGTAAAAACATATGACAGAATCTCAATATTAAGTGACAAAATAGAAAGCGATTTTCCACGCAATATGCCATTTTCCTTTCTTTATATGGTGGTGGATTATTTTTTTTGTTTCTATTTATCCATCAATTAAATTTAATTATTCTAATAAAATAGCATAGTAAAAAAGAAATCGCATTATCAAAAATTATGCAATCCCAAGTGGGATTGCATAAAACCCACGACCGTTGGATTAGAAGTCCAACGCGCTATCCATTGCGCTACACAGATACAACGAATGATCTTCCTTTTTATATACGCTGTTGAACTATTATTTTTTACTATTTATTCATTTTTTAAAAATTTAATTAATGAATTAATAATTGAAAAACTGTATTAACATCAAGAGTCATCCACTACAATTTTTGAAAAAAAAAATGTATTTGAACTTCAATGGATGAATAGAGAAAGTATTTTATTAACGATTGAAAATTTAAATACCACACAAGATTCTATCTATCTCTATCTATCTCTATATCTCTATCTATCCCTATATCTATCTCTATATATCTCTATATCTGTCTCTATCTATCTATATCTGTCTCTATCTATCTATATCTATCTCTATCTATCTCTATCTATCTCTATCTATCTCTATCTATCTCTATCTATCTCTATCTATCTATCTCTATCTATCTATCTCTATCTATCTCTATCTATCTATCTCTATCTATCTCTATCTATCTCTATCTCTCTCTCTCTCTCTATATATATATATATATATATATATCTATATCTATCTATATATCTATATCTATCTATCTATATATATATATCTATATCTGTATCTATATCTATATATATCTATATCTAGATATATCTATATATCTATCTATATCTATATATATCTATATATATATATATCTATATCTAGATATATCTATATATCTATCTATATCTATATATATCTATATGTGTCTTTCTATATGTATTTATCTATATGTATCTATCTATCTATCTATATATCTCTATCTATATATATATATAGGGAGAGAGTGAACTAATAGTAGGAATTGAAAAAAAGGAAAAAGTACAGTTTTTGCAAAGTCGGCTACTTAATTTTCCTTTTAGACAGTTTTATGCCTTCATAAAGAATTTTTTGGGAGATGTCTGATCAGGTAAATTACTGTACACTATGCATTCATTGATTTTTATTTACATGTGGCATAAATGTTCTACGCAGTGGTGGATTAATCGGGTGTCGGACCTGGCGGCCGCCAGGGGCCCCCAGCGTTGGTAGGGGCCCCAATCTTGATGAGTGCAAAGGCCAGCGACAAACAAACCACGCCACCTTGGAACAAAAAATGAAAAGAAAACAAAGTTACAATGAAACCCCCGCTAGAAATTTATCGGCATGCAAGAGAAATCCTAATGTAGAAAAACTTTTGAAAATATTTTTAATAATACCGATATCGAATGAATCAGGTGAATGACCTTTTTTAGTTTTAAAACGTGTTAAAAATAATTTAAGAAGTACTATGGAGAAAAGACAAATTGAACAACATGGCCATATTATATGCAGAATAAAATGTTTTGGACAAAATAGATATGGTAAAAATAATGGATGAATTTGCCAAAGAGAAATCAAACTGTATAGCAAAACTGTAAGCTCTTAAGTAAGTTTTTTAATATTTTTTTTATATATACAGTTAAGACTTTTCTTTAGCCGATGAGTTTTATTATATCACTACATTTTATTCTGAGAATTTAAAGTAAATGACTCTTTTCACTATTTTAGTTTTTCGACTCTTAAGTCCATGGGCCCCAAACCTTTTACCGCCAGGTGCCTCCAACTACCTTAATCCGCCTCTGGTTCTACGTCTTCTTAAAGTACGTTCTTTTCCTTTGCGCTTAAGGGTATTTTGTGACAGTTTATTTTCTGTTGTATTCTCAAACAAACAATTCAAATAGTACAATATTTTTAGAGGAAACAGTCATACTTATTCTTTTTTTTTAAATCTCATTCTCTATAACTCGGATCAAACTCGGCCACCCTTCGGTCCGCATGTAGCCGAGTTTTCGGTACTCTAATGTATTAAATATATTTCGTTCCTGATTTTTTATTTATTCTTAAAAATGTTTTTTTTTTCATTAAGGCATTTAGCTGTTTCGAAACTTAGGTAAAATAACTTACCTAATGCATTGAATTAATTACCTACACACAAATTGGGCAGTTTTAGAAAAAGAAATTTCATTTATTTGAACATTTAATCTCTGAGATCTAACCTTAACTTCCAAAACTATTTTTAACACTTCTTTTCTACAAAAATTCTAATAATGTTAGCATACGTATAATTGAAGAGATTATTGGGCTTGTCTTGACAATTTTCCTGTACACGGATTAATACGTTAAAATTAATTAAGAATTGAATTTCAAAATTTTTCAAGATAAGTAAAGTTAAAAACATTATTATAAGAATAATGGTCAAAAGAGAGAGAGAGAGTAATCAAAATATTAAAAAGTTAAAGATTTATAAAAAAAGCATAGAGAGCTTAGTAATTGAGAGAGAAAGAGTAAAAAAAATACAGAGAAACCTGAATCATCAGAAGAATTGAAAATTTATTGTATTTGTAATCAACATAAATTAGTTTTTTCCCTTTTTTACAAGTTAATTTGCAATAATCAATCAACTGGATCTAAAAAGGCTGGAATAAACTTAGAGAGTATTTATAAAAAAATCTATTAGATCTCAAATAATTTTTTTAAGTAAAGATCAAAATTCTTTTAATTTATTTCGACAAAAAATTGTTTCCATTGATTCTGTATTGGTTTTATATTAGAAGAACCGCGAGGTTCATTGGTGACAGACCTCGTAATTGTGAACCATGGTCAATTGTCATGGACGGCATCTGAGCTCATACCTCAATTTCCAAACTTTTACTCCCTGCCAAATTAAAGACTTTGAGCCTCAATTGATTGAACACGCATCAACTTTTTACACCAGTGGTTCTTAAGCTGTGCTCCGTGGAATCCTGAGGGTCCCCAGCGTCTTTCTAGGATAGTCCGCAAAGGTTTGCCATTTGTTGTTAAGATTTCACTCTTTTACAGACTCCGAAAGGCCTTGTGGAAAAATTGAAAGATGAACCTAGACTCTAGATCCCTAAACTACCTCCAGTGAAAGCATCTCTTTCTAGAACCGGGGTGGGCATTACGTCGATCGCGATCGACCGGTGGACCACCAAGACACTTTGGGGGGATCATGCCTAAAACTTTTACCCGTTAGTAATTATGTATGGAAAATTCAAGATTGGCTGACAGTACGCAGACTAAGCCTTCTACTGACTATAACAACAAAAACTAACTTTAGATAAAAATGTTTTATTTTTTAATGTATTTTTAATTGTTTCATAATAAATATATCATTTGATATAATTATATTCGGGACTATTATTATTAGGTTTGTATCTTGCGTTTTGCTTTAAACGTGGTTTTAAAAGTGTTTTTTTATATTTTAGTTCTGTGGGTAAGTACATATATTCCGTACTTAATATTAAGTTATGATAATAACCTTTTCCTTACCTCTCCACATCTATGACATTGGGCAGTAACGTGCACAGGAATTTTTAAGGGAAGAGGGTCGAAGGTTTTTTGAAGGTCTACCATTCTCATGTATCATATCCCAAAACGCACCCAAACATTTTTTTTTTGATTTTGTCGATTATCAGGAACAAAAAACAGCAAAAAAGGAATTACTGAATAAATAATTAACAATAATAAATAAAAAAATTACTAATATCAAATACTTAATTATATTTTACATACTATTTATTTGGGACTATAATGAATCGGGAAAAAATAAAGGGTTATGGAGGGACGGTCCGGACCCGTGGACCCCTCCCCCGTCCTTGTATGCGCCACTGACACTGGGTGGACCGCAGCTCCTTGAAAAAATTAGAAATAGCCCGCACCCTGGAAAAGTCTGCCCTCCCCTGTTCTAGAACATCTATTTCTATCAAGAATATTAATTCAGTTTTTATTGTCTACAACATAGTAACCATTACTACAGCATAGATTTTTTAAATTAGATGTTTACCGTTTCCTTAAGGAGAAAAAAAGAAAGTATTAATAAAAGTCTGTATAGGTAGCTGAGGCAGTCTTAGGATTATTGACAAATTTTTTTAAATCCCTCAATCATGTGTTCGGAATCAGGGAGGGGTGTTCAAAATCTTGGGGGAGGGGGTCAGCGAAGTCAGTCTGATACATAAAGGGGGGTCACAGCGATCGAAAGTTTAACCACTGCTCGACACGATAACAAAAGAAAATGAAGACATAGCGACAAAGAGCAATCTTTTACGAAAATGAATGTATAACATAACTCTCCCCTTATAAAAGCATTCACTTATTAATGATGTCACACACAAATTTCACTTTATTTTTTTCTGTATTTTCCACATTTTATGAATTTGCTTTTATTTAACTCTGCTTTTATTTGCTCTTTACAGATAATTTATTTCTATATTTAGTTTCATTTTTATTTTGTCGAATAATTGTTGCTCGCGCGCTTGCTCATGTATTAAATTTTTACTTTTTAATTGCAAAATGCTACAATCTAGCTCTGCAGTCGCAGCTTAACGTATCTCAGGTTTTGATATTTTCTTTTGGGGGATTTATTCTTAATCTCTAAAATGAATTTTAAAAAAAATTTCATTTCTTTTAAAAACATTTCTTTTTTCCCATCTGTTTTTATTCTTTCCCCACCTTTTTCACTTTCTTTTTGGTAATATTTTTTTATCTTTAAATTAATCAATATCCCAGTAGCTCATAGTGCATTTAAACTAGAATAAAAAAAAATTCTTGTTCCTTAAAGCTGGTTAAACGCCCACACGAATGTAATAAAAAATAAACAAGAAAATTATAGAAGTTTGGTAGCAAATTACATGAAAGAATGTTTCCCACAACGTATTTAAAATAAGGGGAGGGGGGGGGAGGGAAGAACTAAACACACCACCTAGTACTCCTCTCATTCGGAATCTAATCACATTTTAATGGAAAATATTTAATCTCAGATCTTGAGTTGGTACAAAAATATGTTTACAAGATTTAATTAGCTTTTAAATCTTTAGAATATATATTGATAAATTTTATCAATCCCATTTTTTAAAAAAAAAGTGAAGCTGTGTTTTCAAAAATTAATTTAAAAGATTGAGAAATAAGAGAAAAATCTGTTAACAAATTTCAACCGAGTCACTTCAAAAGGAAATTGGATATGATTTAAGAAATTGATTTTATC